CTGGTTTTCTCTTCTGGATCCAGATACCATAATGAGATACTTTCCTGACACACATGAAACGTATTTCCGGCACTGGAAAACTGACTGCAAATCTTATGTTCTAAATGGACGAAAATAATTTTTAGACAAGAACTGAAATGCCCTTCCAGTAACTACAGACCAAGACTGTTTCCTCACACACAGTATTTCTATGAATTTGACCTTATGAGAATTTTCCAGTCAAAAGCTAATTCAGATGATAAAAGTACTGAAGAACTCACTGACAACAAAAGAAGGTTAATTAACAGTACCGTGATAGTTACTGCAAAATCCTCACCTTAATATTCTACAGATTAGCATTTCCTTGGAGTGAAAGTCATAATCAGAAAGAACACTGAGGGCAAAAGAACTAATTTACCCTATGCTGTTTTCTAGCTCAGGCCCCAAGCAGTATTTCTTCAGGGTGTACTGGGACTCGTGCTCTCGGATTTCTCTCACTGCAAACTGTTTACAGCAGAAACTGGATAAAGATGCTTTTGTAATACCCCCCGTGTAAAAACATAATTTGGCACTCCTGTGTCTAAGACAAGATCCATTTTTATTTAATAAATATCTTAATTACTGTCGTAGGTCTTCATCGGTCAAATATTCATGGAAGCGTGCATGGAATTACAGTGAGTACTCAAATCGGCACCAGGAGCAGGCTATGTGTTAGAATTGGTGTGTTCCTGAAAAGAACCATTTCTTTTTCTAATAATAGGATATAAAAATTCCATATGAAGAGCTTTCCCTAAATTAAGATCAGATTTGAAATCACGTCTATCAATCCAGACGTTACAAAGTTAAATAACAGTGATTTAATAAGCAATTTCATAACATTTGACTACCCAGCTTTAAGTGATTTCTTCCACAGCACTAAACATACCTGATGTTACTTAATGAAAGTGAATTTAAAATACATCACAGCCCATAACTTCTCAGTTTACCTGAACTGTGACTAAGAATGCATTTTTTAAAAGCAAAAGAACAGGATATGCAAAAAATTGCCAGCTGTTAAAAGACAGCTGTATTTCAAAATAAAATATCCCTAGCGGCTTCTTGATGTAAGCAACCCAGATGTAGCAGTGCACACATTACCAGAATCAAAAAGGATTCAATAATTTGTTTAAACTACTTCATTTACTGATACTATATTCTTCCTTTAAGGAACAAACAGAACAGGCTCATTGGGGAATTCTTTCCCCTCTGTTTCTGTATTACTTACATATGGGTTTTAGTAAACATAAACCCTTTATGTATTGAAGCTCATTTTTGCATTGACTTTCAAAGCACTGTAAAATTCAAGGCTTAGGACAAGTTACACCAGAGGCAGTTAAAAGCCATTTTACTAGCTACCAGTAAGTCCTCAACAAGAGGACAAAGGAAAAAAAAGGGTATATCAAAGGTTATCACAACTCTTTGATGCAGTCATGGGTAGTATAATACATTCACACAATGCCTCTGCACTAAATGCTGTCAGCAGTAAATCACAAAGCCCACCACATTGATTTCCGTCACGAGCCTGACACCACTAATGCATGTACGTCTTCATTAATATTATTTTATTGCCTCTAGCTATTTAAAAAGGAACACAGGAGAATGTAACACTGCATGTGGATCATTAGCTTTTAGTTACTATCCTAATGCCCTACACCAGCAAATGAAGTGTAAAAATAGCCTGCAGCCTCTGCCACCTGCTTCCCAGCCACTGTCCAGTGGTTGATATTTGGACTCTTTTTTTCATGCAGCTGGTCTTCTACTTAGAAGCAGCCCCACTTTCCATTGCTGGGGAACCACCATGAAATGTGATTTATCATGGCTATAGCAAAGGCCGTTAATCTTTTTTTTTTCTTCCCCCCCCCTAAATGGAAGAAATAGCTGGGCTTTCTATCTCAACATTATTTAAATATTTAGTGAAGTGGCTGCCTACATTTGTCATCATGTGGATCATCAATAAGGACACAGGAGTGCACACGCTATCTACCATAAGGACATAATGCTGGTAATTGCATAAAAATGCTAATGTTACAAATACACTTTTGATAACAAATTACCAAATTATCTTGGAATTTGATGGTAGGTAGGTTTCTCTGTGCCTCCCTTCCTCCCACTCTGGGATTCCACTAAGTGGTTTTAATGTAATTATGGCCCAGCTATGTATAACCAGTGTATAAAGCCCCAAGCCTGCCTGTGCTCCAGCAGAGCATACTATTAGATGTGCCAAATAAGCATAAGTGACCTTAACATGCAACTGTACCTCTTGCAATTAATCTGGAAGCGCTGTCTCAGGTAACCCAGCAAAGTGTAGAAGTAAAAACCTAAAGCTCTTTTGTCACACACAATATACATTTGCTCTATTCTGATTTCTATTGTGGCAGTAACTGAGCCTCTACATGAATTCCTGCCATGTGAAAGAAACTATTGCTAGGACTTTTTTCTAAGCTTTTCATAGCTCTCCAGTGGGTACAGGGCAGCAAAATTATTGTAAGGGCTACTAATCTTGTAACAGAGCAGTATGATGTTTTTAATTTGAAGCAGAACTCACCACCTCTATCCCTGACCACCTGAATCTTTTTCAGACCTATGTGAAATAATACTCTGTAAAACAGAACATCATGTATTGGTATCATTTAAGACATAATTGTCTTCCCTGGTACTCTTGTATCGTTTTTGTCAGGACACAACATAATGACCTGGAATGCTGACATGGCATTTTGTGTCCTTTCTTGATCTTCCCTGCTGTTCATGTAATTTGAATATAAACATATGATTATGAAGGAAATAGTCTGCATTTACAGTAAGTTTGAAATGCTTCTATTAGCTGCATGGCTTAATTTGACCTCTATCACAGTAACACCACATAGTTTGACTGTATTCTTTAATAGCTCTTTTACTAAAATCATTATTGGGAGGGGCATTAAAAGGTCTATTTTTGACAAACTACTGAACTTTTGAGTGAACTGTTTTTCTTTGTGGTATAAGTTTCAGTGAGAATCAAAAATGTTTTAAACCCCTTTGTTCAGTTGAAAAAACCCAACAAAGCAAAGAAACCAAACCAATAAAAAAATCTCCTCATTTCAAAGTGCAGTAACTTTTAGAATTGGTGTTTTTAAAAAAATAATTTTCCAATGTCTCTTTTGACTAAGGAAGCATCTTAAGAGTTTCTTTACACCTTTCCATATATCCTCTCATTCTCTTTGTACTTCACAAATTGAGACATGCATCTACACACATACACAAACATGTGGAACTCTCAAGAACTGAACACAGACTGAACTTCAAGTAAATGAGGGGAAAGAACTATTTATTTCTCCCAGCTATTTTCATCTTCTGATACAGCTGTCCTGCCTCACTCTACGCAAGTCGAAGTATAGGTTGGAAAAGAGGCAACTGCAGCATGTCAGGAGCAGATGGGACATGGAGTTCGCATAGAGTTTGTCACGATACCAGGCTGAGCCTGATCTTTGGGAAAACAAGATGGTTTTAGGGTACCTGAGAAGCTGAGATGCAGGGGGAAATTATTTTCTATCTGTGAGGTGAAGAATGGTTTGAAGAAAACCACACAGCTGATACAGAAGATTCTGTCTTTGCTTCTGGTTCAGTTGCAATATCACAACATTCACATTTGGAGAAGTTTGCTCACCCGCCTTTTTCTGCCTCTTAGTTCATCTACCCTTACAGGTCAAGGAACTAAAGCAGCCAGAGGCCCAGTTATATTAAACACTCTCTTCAGTATTAGATATTCTAGTATTTATACTCTGTAACCCCTTCAAATGAAATAACCCTGCAGCTTCTTACTCCTGCCCCCAGGAGCCAAGACTTAACAGTGCTATGGGAACAAACTAGATGAGATTTTCAGGAAAACGCAGCTTTTCATCCCACATTCTCTGATCTTGGCTAAAGACTAAACACAACCCAGTCATGCTTAGTTCCTTTCCTCGGCAAAAAAAAATATTCCTGATAGGCAATCAGTTTCAATACTACTCTGCAAGATTACCTTGACAAATGCTATTCACCACCATATGAAAACACAAGGTCCTTTTAACCTTATCTTATGGTTACCTCTGGATTCTAACATAATCATTAATCCGCATTTATGTTGCCTGTGTTAAAGAAAGACATTTCAGCAAACTACAAAAAAAAAGCATTATATTTTTCTGAAACTTGCCCTGTATATTTATCTTTTTTTCTCAAATGAAATGAGTTATATAAATCTAAAAAGTCAAATACATATTAAAAAAATAATGTCTTCTGGAGCATGAGACTTTTAAGGAAAAGTATTTTTTCCACATTTCTGTTTCTTGAATCAACATGCATTGCTTCCAGTAACACAGTTGAAGCTCTTGCTAATTATAGAATTTGTACAGATTATAGAAATCCTGTGACCTGAAAACCTACAGGATAAACAAAGAACCTCCACCTTGGTCAGAAAACCAAACACCTTCTTTCTTTAACGCAATACTAAATGATGTTATCAAAAAGGAGCAAAGTGCTATATACTGTACACATCAAACCGCCTTTTCAAACCTGCAGACCTGCATAAAATCCATAGGTTTGAAAGAAAGCTATGCAGTGATGTGCCACACTGATTTACTGCTAACAAGTACAGTAGCTTCATGCATTCAGACAATCCTGGGTTTGTCCTTGCTACAGCTGGGCATGGTGAAGGTCTGTCTTCTGCAAAACAAGTATCCTATCCTATCATATCGAAATATCACATTATGACTACAAAAGTCAAGCAACAACGCAGTCTCTTGCAAGGCACCAATGGCTCTTCTAGTTGTGTGTCAACAGCAGGTAGCAGCTGCTAAACAGTGAGCTGGCAGGAAGGATTCCTTTAGGGAGCTACTGAGTGGACCACAAAGATTACACAAGTTTTTTAACCTGTACCACGAATCGTGTGACATGATTATTTTACACATATAAAAAAAATCAGAGCTAAAACACCTACATAGAGTTCTGTGCAAGGATTCTATACTTACCACATGTCAAGGCAAGTGGAATATTCTGTTGATCCCAGAAGGACATCTGGAGGCCTGTACCATAGAGTTACCACTTCATTGGAATATGTATGGCTGGGAACTGATTTAGCTCTTGCAAGACCTGTGGGGTAAATGCAAACAAATTAATACAAGCAAAACAAAGAAATAGTCTGCTCTATAGTTATGATCCTAAAAGAACATATGAGCACACATCACATAACATGACAACATGTTGCAAGCGTTTTTATTTCTAGTATTGGAATAAGTTACTTAACGAAATAACATGGTAGCATCTATCATTATTACCTGGATAAACAGACCTGTGAATATTATGAAGGAATAATAAAATATGCTTTTCATAATGACAACCACAGGCCCCGGAGAGATGCAAAGATACACTATGGTATACCTAAATGAAAGACAGATAAAGATTTTGATTTCCATTAACTGTTCATCCTTAGCCATTGATAGTCTTTCATTTCAATGTCATTTAGAAAAAGGGGATGAAAAGGAAACTCCCAGGCAAATAGTGCCACAGATGAGATTTGGGGTTTTTTCTTCAGGGAAGCCTAAGGAAACCTTCCACAGTTTAGACTGCAAACCCCAGCCTGCTTATTCAAGTTTATATTTGAAAGCAGTAGAAACACACATTACCATTTAAATAAATATTAATAATGCAGTAATGCTTTAGAAAATGGTATGTGTAAAATTCTTTTCTCTCCACAAACGTATATTGGCAGTGCACCAACCTCAGAAGCAGAAATCATTTCAATGAAATCTGTGGCCTACTAAAAATATACTGTTTACAATAATTGTCTTTTAAGCTTGTCAAATCATTTAAAAGCATTTATATTGCTACACAACCATAATGTCTCATGTAAAATTGGAAAGATTTTAGAAGAGACCCTCATATGCTGATAAAAACAGTAGAGAGCATACCTTTTTAACAGTTCTCCTACAGAAGCCCCTCTCATCCAGGAAATGGGAAAAGATTTTCAGGGCTATGGTGATGGTTCCCATCACAGGCCTGCAAACACCTTTTCCACATAATTTGCTCCTAGTTGCCACCTTGAGACTATCTGCTCCCCTGCTTGGGAACACTGGGCACGCACAGGTAATGGAAATCAGGAAAATGCACTACTGGGGATTTTTGTGTTCCCAAACTACTTATTTCCCTTTTACAAAACAAATGAAATTACTCAAACAGAATTTCATGTATTACACCTTACAGAAACCAAAAAGCAAAGGCATACACTCATAAAGAAAAATGCAACACAAGAATTCACATAAGGGCAGATGAGAATCCTTTACACCTTTATTCTTAATACACTGGAGGAGCTATTTAAGAACAGTTAATCTCAGTGAATATATCTCCATAGTAATGATGGCAAATCTTGCCAGTCGATTGTATTATCAGCTGATTATAGCAATTAGACCAGTGTAGGGGAATAATTTGACTTGTATGCCACAATTTAATAAAAAGAAAAATCAAATATGAATAGCCTTTTTTGGTTTTAGTTTTCAGACTTCCATCTCTTTTACGTTTGTGCACTTGGCCACCAGCTTCATGAATAACTTGGCTCATGACCAGGTACAACCCCAAAGAGGCCAGAGGAAGGTCACTCTCATGCTCTGCATTGCCTGAGCCTCCAGATTAATGGGTTTGCTTCCAGGAAATCAGAAACCACCAAATGCTCTAACTGGTAAGAAAAATTCTTTTTCCTAGCCCAGAGATACATTAACAAGTCCGAGTTTCTGAGCACCTATGTCCCATGTAACTAAAATAACCAGCAGTCCCTGAATTTGTGGACACAGACCTAATATTATTAAGCTAAATAAAAATTATGAAGGGATTTGAGAAGCCTGGAGGGTCAATGCCACCACTTCTTCTTTGCCTGTCAGAGGCCCTGTTTAGTCTTGCCTGAGAAAGGCTGAATTTGGTTGCAAATTATTTCCTCTCTAATCTTCTACCTAACTTTGACAGAAAAAAAGACATAAGCATGCAGGGGGAAGGTATTTTCAAGAAGCCAGAAACATCATGTGATTTGGAGGAAACTTCAAAAAAACTTTAGAGCTTGTGGGGTTAAAAATGAACTCAGGTTCCCATGTCACAAAGTCCTTGATCCACACACTCAAGAAATCTCCTGTGGAGGGAGGAATGAGTACCCAACTTGCTAAACCAGACATCACACTGCACACGATACAATATACACGCTTGCCTCACAGTTTCTGCCACTTTACTGGCCAGTATGGAGTTTTGCAAGTGATATAGTTAGCCTAAGCACACCTTTCCTCTTCTTGTGTAATTGTTCAGCATGGATACAGTCCTCCCAGCTTGCTGTCACTGCTGCTTAGCCTGTTTCCTCAGCCCACTGCTTCTAGGTCCCGTCACCTCTAATCCCTTCCAAGTTAACTAAAATCCCTCCAATTTTCAAAGGATGGGCCTTTTGGGTTAACCCCAGCCTGTTCAACAACTAAATGTTTTTCTTTATTCTGCTCTTCACTCCCAAAACACCATGAAAACCTCATTTGAGGTAAGCTGCTACATCTGGTTTCTCAGTTATAAAAATATCAGTACTGGAATGGAGAAAGTCATAAACAAAACTGTGATTTGTAAAAGCAAGTCAGAGTTGTACACTCAATCAGACAGCATCATCGGCTTTAAGAGGTTAATGGGTACAGGTCATGTTTTAAGTTGTGACCAATTGGTTTCCTAGCTGGGCATATACACTACTTTGGAAACTAAATAGCCCAGTGGAAAGCAGGAATGAACAACTGAGACTAAAATTTGGCCGTCAGTCACTGCCCCTGTGCAGAACTGAAAGGGCCTGAATTAGGCTAATGCCTCAGAGGAGTTGGTCTCCCTCAGGGAGAGAGCAAGGGCAAGGTTTGCTTTTTTCTGAGTAACACTAGAGACAAAGAAAGCATTTGCAACTATGAACACTTTCACTTGAAGACTCAAAATTAAAGCAAATGTCTCTCATCACACTTAAAGCATGAAAAAATGCCCTCATCTTTCAGACATATTTACAGTTTTAAATGAATGCTATCTATATATATATATATGAAACACTAACAAGATACTGCATTTCTTGTTTTGATGCTCCAGATGCAAATAGATGACAGTTATCAGGGTTGGGTTTTTTTCCAGATACCCTTCTGCAAGAAAAATTTGCTACATATTTTATAGCCTTTTGCATACCCAAATATGCTTACTCATGCAAAATTGATTTAACCACATCCTTCAACTGAAAGAAAACTGAAAGGTAGGTTTAATTAGCACAGCATGTTCGATCACTTTCTTTAAGGGTTCCCTGCCTGTTTCCATGGTTACACTACAGGAAGAATTGACAATCTTGTTTTAAAAAGACAGAGCTTATGGGGGACCATCAAAACTTCAAGCCTTAATGACCAACGTGCATAAAAGCCAAAAGGTAAATGGAGAGATCACCAGGTTGAGTACCCAATATTTACATATTGCTACTTGAGCACTTTTTTGCCTGGGAAGGTAGAGGGAAGACCTCCTGCCAAGAAGTCCCCCCTGGTTCCTGTGTCTTCTGAAAGATAAAAGGTCAACACACGTCCTGCTGTTGCAGCCTGATTTTGAGAGAAGGAAGCCAAGCATAAGGCCCAGTTATTAAAAGTCAAGTTGCATCAGAGCCACTGGGGAACCTGTGTGTACTTATAGGAAGAACAGACACTGCTTTATGTTCTCCAGGCACTTACTTCTATGGGCATTATTTATCCAAGCTGAAAGAAGAAACTGTTCTGATGTATTACGGATTGCAAGACTTGCACAACAGCATCTACCTGCGCTATGACACAAACCACAATTTTCTTTTAACTCATTCATTACACAACAGCTACAATTCCCTGTATTTAAAATACAGAGCAAATGATCTCTGCCTATGCCTGTATACGTCTTTAACACACAAAACCTCCTGCTGCCTCCTACTCTGAATTAAAAACAACACAAAACCCAAGAAGATATTCCCTTCCCTGGTAAACACAATTTTCTCTGCTTTGTTTGCCTTTATCTTTTATGTCAGACTCAGGTTGTATCTGATTTTACCTAGTATCAGTTATAGACAAAATACATGGCACTGATTTATCATTGTAATTTTTAAATTGCATTTGGCTTTTACAAGAGGCTCTAGCTATATCCAGACTCAAGACCAATTCAATACACACGCCTTTAGCTATAGAAGCACAAATATTAATATTTGATATCTCTTTAGCTGCAGGACAGATTTCTAGTCAAGTTCATATGACAATCAGGAAGCCTTTGTTCACAGCAAATATGATTCTGCAAATGAGGAAACCAGTCATGTCTGCAAAAAACAAGGTCTGCCAACCATGTGCATGGTTTCCCTTTCCACTATACCTTAAATGTGTTGAACTGTTTACCATTTTTATTTGGATATATCTAAAAGGGCTATAGTAAGGCATACTGGAAAAAAAAAAGGGGGGGGGGTCTGTTCCTGTTTTTCCTCATTCAGATTCTTTTAATGCTTCCTTTTTTTCAGCCTTCTGTTTTGTTCGTTTTAACAATGATTTAGAGTTTGAGGTAAATGGCTTATAAAACCATAACTATGAATCACTAACAATATAAAATATTGTTATCCTACTGCAGATCATGAACAGTCAACTCCACTTAACCTGTTTACTCAGCTACTTGTTCTCCAACAGAAGTGTATACCTGAATGACAGCAAAACAGAAATATAATGGGTGGAAACACTGACATTGCTTCAGTGAAGCAGTCAGCTTTTTAACCCAGAAGTCCGTTCCTGGCCATCAGAAGCATCCTGCATCCTTCCATTCTTTACCTGCGTGCTTCTGTATTTAAGTAGCAGCTTTACCATAGCATCTGTGTTAAATATCTTTCAAGTAAGAATTACCTACAATATCCTATGGCCTAGTCCTAATTTAGCCAGTAGATTATGGTAGTGCTGCTCATTTATAAAAGTTACCGACTATCAGAGAGAGCCTAATCAGGTTCCCAAATTAGTATTCCTGAAGTGCACTTGAGAAATGACTGGTCTTCCAAACTGAACAGCAGCTTTCGAGACAAGAGTAAGGCAAAAGGCATGTGTGCCTCTCAGCCTGTCTGTTGTTTTCAC